AGCTGTTCTGCCTCCACAGCTGGCAGGGCCGGGGATAAAGGAGAAGCAAGCTTGTCCCAGGGTCAGGGGTGTGCTTCAGACTGGCATATTTTGAACAAATGGAATTTAGAAACACAAAGAACATTTCAAAGCCTTGTGGGACCAAGGCTGAAACATGGTGCAGCTGTAAAAGCCTGTGTAAGCCTTCTGAAGTGCCAAACAATGCCACCAGCATACCACACGGAGAGAAGCAGAAGCTGGGGCAAAGCAAGGGCTTGAGAGGTGCTTTGGGCTGTGTGTGGAACTGTAATTCTGTGGGCCCTTGGCCTGGAAGATGTCCTGAATTGCTGCCTGTGGTGGCAGGGCACAGGGCTTGGCTGCCTGGGAAGTCCTTCCTAGTGACCTGCCCCACTCCATTGCTTCAGGGGAAGAACTGAGGAGATGCGGGGACAAAAATAAAACCAACTCTGTAACGGAGAATACCGTGAGCCCAGAAAAGCATGTGTGGGGCAAGCAGGAGAATTCAGTGAGCTTCAGGCACCCCATGGAAGATGCTTTGCCCACATTTTGCTCTAGGACGTGTTGTGCCAAACATATGGCGGTATTAAGGACTTCAGAGCAGGGACCAGGACAGTGAAGGTGAAGCCTGCAGGATGTGTGTCAGACAGGAGACCCGCTCTTCCTCCTCACCGTGGTCTCCTCTGGATACTTTGAAGCATCGCAACTGTCCTCAGTAGCATTCAGGGGGCTTGGACACACTTCTCACCTCAGAGGTGCACTCCAGCTTGCATTGTCTGGGCTCCCTGGCAGACAAGGCTCCTCAGCAGCTTTCAGGAGGATGCAGGTCAGCATCTCGAAGGCATGGATGCAAGTAGGTTACATGAATCAAGAAACAACCCAGTCTCACAGCTCCCACTCACCCACAGCTGGATTCCCAGCCTTCCCAGGTGGATGGGGACCCCCCTGCTCCCTAGCTTATCCAACCCAAGAGTTCTTGGGAAAAGTGTGAGATTTTGCAATAATCCCCTGGTTATTTGTGAGTTAAGTGACGTGAACTCAAGCAACGGGATGGTCTGTGGGTTGATAAACTCTCAGAAGCCTTTGAGTTAAACCTTCTGCCCTAGCAGTCACTGTGATACAACTGTGTGGAGAGAGATCACAGAGGGCTTGTGGGAGAAGGGGGAGGCACGTCAGGAGGTGAGGGAGCAGTGCGTGTACCAAAGAGTCCTGGAGCATCAGCCCCCCTCTACCCACCTCCTGATAGCATCTTCAGAGTGAGGTAGGCTTGCAAAGGGCAACAGTTTCCGTTGGCAGGAAGGTGAGAGATGTCCATATGGGGCTTGTATGTGCATGGGTACACATGTGGGTGTCACAGCAGGGCGCACACTGAGCTGCCCTCTGAAGCCCACCATGGCTCAGCAAGTGCTCATTTCACCACTGTGGTCAGAGGTGGGCCATGCCATGTGAGGCAGTAAAACAACTGACCTCAGCGATGCAGCTCTGCCCCATCACCCATGCAGCCACAGGCACGGTTCACATCCAGCCCTTTGGGCCCAGCAGCAGCTCCCAGCCAGTAATGGGAAAGGGAAGGTGAGAAAAACAGGAGATCTGGGGCAGGACCAACCCACTGCTGGCATCTGGCTGCGATGCACTGCATGGAGGGAGGAAGGGGCTCTGCTTGCAGTACTGAGCGATACCGGCTTGGATGTTGTATCACCCCTTTCTCCCTCCATGGACTCTGTGAGACAAACAAGGCTGAGGTGTGAGTGAAGCGGGTTGTCCAGGTGGTTTGAGAGGGGCAGAGGGACAGCAGGCTGGAGCAGAGAGGAAACCTGATGTGTTTCGGTGTGGTGGCGGTGACCTGAATGGTGCACAAATGCCTGGCATGGGGCAGACTCTGCACCATCATGATGCTCAAGGGGCTGCCAGAGACTTTTCCCATGGCTGCCCCTCTTGTGACAGAGAATCAAGGGAGGTACAGAGATAGGTCCAGTTGTGCTGAGCCCCTGCCCTCCTTGGTACTTTGGGTGCAGGCACGTTCACTAGTGCCTATCTAAGTGCCCTCGGTAAAGTCAAGGGTCTCCTTTTCTTGCCCTGCTTCTCTCTTCCCATTTCCCACAGCTATTACATGGCAAAGAGATATTGCAGGGCCTTCAGCTTCTCCTGAGCTGGCCCTGACATGTGCTTTCTTCCGCAGAGATAGCACCATATCCTGCCCTTTACCTCCTTTCTCCAACTCCCCCCCTCCTTTCATACCTGCAAGACCACAAACCGGCAGGAAACCAGTTTAAAGGGCCATCCCTTTGGCAGATACCTTCAACAAGCCTGAGGCATGGCCACAGAGTCCTTTGTAGCAGAGCTTCACCCTGACAGGGTACAAGAGAGGAATGGCCCCAGGAGCAGAGCTGTATCTGCCCATGCCAGGTCATGCTTCTTGCTCTTTGCCCATGAGAGGTCCTGACTGTCACCAGCCCCAGGCTCACATACCACAGGGCAGTGCCGTTGCACGGAAAACAGGTTAGACCTGGGTGAATGGAGATCTCGTGGCTTTCAGGGCATGGCTGCACCCACTGTCAGGGCAGCAGGGCAGGTCTGACCCCTTGATCCTTCTACATCATTGCAGGGTCCACCTTGTCTTAGCTGAGCCTCACCTTCAGCAATTCCCCGGTCAGGCATCCATAGTGTGATGTGTGACACTGGTTACAGACCCTCCCTGTTACCACGCATCTTAGACCCAAAGGATTTGGCTGAAGAGGCTTTTCAGGTGGCGCTTTCTTCTCAAAGTGGGTAGCTTGAAAGAGTGAATTGTAGAAGCTTTTTCTAGAAGGTCTGGCTACACGTTTCCTCTCCTTCCTCCTTCCTCACCTTTTGTAAGTATGATAAAGTCACATCCAATCTACCAGCATCTCACCTCAAGGGGCCAGGGACGTGCAGAAGCGCAACCCCTGCGCTTCCTGAAGACGCATTTCTACCTGTTTTCTCAGAAGTAAATAAAAACTGTGAAGAAGGCTGAGCTCTGACCTGATGAGTCTTGCATTTCTTTGATATATATAGCCCTAGCTCTGGACTAATTATGTTTTCCACCCCTTGCCAAACAAAGCATCTGGTACGTGTCAAACCACAGGAGAAGCTATGTGAAGATGATTTAAACTCAAAACAGAAGGTCCTATATGGGCTTCTCCTCTTGTTTTCTTGTCCACTTCTCCACTTCAGCTGGAGTCTCCTCAGTCCAAACCCCAAATAAAAGAGAAACACCACAGGCAAAACAGAAAGCAAACACACATACAAAGTACTTGATAGAAGGATGTGCTGAAAATGTCACAAGAGTCCGATACCCCTTAAGAGAATCCCAGCATTAGCCCAGTCTTCCTCATTATAATTAATTATTTGAACCCTAATCTTATAACCCATTGTATTGTCCTGTTTTTTGTTTTTTTGTAATTTCCAAAGAATCCTTCCTTGAATTTGCTTAAAGTTTTCCCAGCAAAGAGGAAATTACCCTAAATATCTTTAGGGTAACAGTTCTCCACAAAGTAAACAGAATATTGCCAAGGATTGCCATGGGAAGTTTCAGAACTGAGTTAGACTTTGTACCTGTCTCTTTCAGGTCACTGTCTTTTCCATCACACTGTTTGGCAATAACCAGAGATAGAAGGAATAGGCTGGGATGAAAAAGCAGATCTAAGTGCAAAACAACCAGCGAAAAAAGTTTAATACCACTGAAAAAAAAAAATAATATATATATACAAAAATTCTTGGGGTTTGTTTGGTTTTGTAACATAAAGCACCATTAATTCCACAGTACATTACAACTCAGCCTACTACACCTTCCAGAAAGCACCCAATACTCCTGAAATCTGATTTAGCACCAAGGGTTTGCCATCTTGTTTAGCACCAAGAAGCCTATTAAACACACCCTTTGGTCCCCCTGCCCTCCTCTCTCATGTGCAGCAGGCACCATCTGGCTGCTCATGAGACCTGCCACTGGCATTCAAACACCAAAGAGAAAAGGAGGAAGATGGAAGCTTGTTTCTGGAGATATTGTGTCTTAGAGAGGCTTTTTTCTATCCAGGGAGACATGGGAGCACTATACACTGTAAATAGGCAATACCTGGGTTTGCAGCAAGTTGAGGAAGAGAGAAAGGGATTTGGACCTGAGCATCTCCTCCAGCATGCTGCTTTCAGGCATGCTATAGCCTGAAATCCTGCCTCTGAGCAATTCCACGTGCTTGACCTACTAAGGGAGGGGAAGAAACTCACAGCCTCCTTTCATTCCCATGATCCCATCATCACATGTTTTCCTGGGAAAAACCCAGCTTTGCCTCAGTGAAACCTTGCTGTTATACCCACTGCCCCAAGTGACAGTGGTGGGGAGGATCCAGGGCAGAGAGTGCCTGAAATTCATTCCAGTCTATACAGCTTCCTTAGCAAAGCAGGGAGGGTAAGAGAGAAAACATCCAAAAATTATCTCAAGTTCATTTTTAACATTTAGCCTGGGTCCTTCTGCCTTTGCTAGCCTGGGCTGAGTGTACTGGACCTCGTCCTGTAAAACAATGTGTATCTCCTATGGGAGAGCTCTGGAAGTCCCAGGCAGAGATTATAGCTAATCATGAGACTGCAGAAGCTAGATAAGTCAAAAGACTTCATTATCAGTGGTGGGCAGTGGAGAAATAGTTTCTCCTGCTTGTCCTGTATTGAGACTCAACAAATGGACAACTCTTGGCATTCATGTTTATGGAGCACCACAACACGTGGATATAGGTTTCCCAAAGTGCTGAGTCAGCCTCACCTGCTCCTCCCAGGATAACAGCAATCCCAGAGGGATGTGAGACAAGGTAAAAATGGTACTAGAAAAACCTACCGCTGACATTCCTTTCCTACTGTGATATTTACAACCTGACAAAAAGAGGGAAAGATTGTTTTAGCCACATGTTTTTCTCAGTTGCTCTCATGAGGTTGCCAGGAAAGGGCACAGGGGAAGCTTTTTCACCGTGGGGGTGAGGTGTATAGTCTCACTCTATCTCTTTTCCATCACAGAGGCAAAGAAGTGCCAACCGACCAGATGTGAAACTGATTTAACAGTGATTGCCCCTACAGCCTCCAGCTCAAGTTCTGAAACAGCGGTCCCTCAATACCAGTGTGGGAGAACCACCTTCAGGAGGACACTGTAATAGCATGCAGGAGGCACCAGCAAACCTCGAGGTGACTGGTGATACCAGTAGAAGGCCATGGGGGCACATCTGCCAAAGACAAGCAGATTCACATTCACTGTCTGGACTAGCTTACCACAACTGGGGAACTGAGACTTAATAGCACCCCAAGGGAGGTTTAGGAGGGAAGTATGGAGGATTGTCTTTCTCTTTTGTTCTGTACTTACGATCCCTAGTGGAAATTGAGTGGTGGACTGTACTGATTCAATGGCAGATTCTTCTGAAGTGTCTGGCTAAGGATCTGACCCTTCATCTCTCCAAAGAGCCAGAGCTGGCACAGAGGAGTGCAATCCCACCAGGCCTAGATTTTACAGCCAGCCTGGACACTGTGACCCAGCAGTGTCTAAGGAAAGCCAATGCCATACTTCAGAAGGCCATCAGTCCCCTTTTTAGAAAGACAGTATAATCTCCCTCCAGTCCCACATCTTTCTTGTGCGCCAGGAGGTCATTAGAACCCAGTCCACGCTCCTGTCTATAGATGTGAAAGGTGACATTAAAGCTGTGTTGCAGGCTGCAAAACTGGCGTGTCTAGTTGGGATGGAGATGAGACAGGATGCACCCAGCAGTGGGGACTTTATAGCCCTTTGTACAGCAGCCCTTTGTGTATAAAGCTCCAAGGAGGGATGCATCTGCAAGAGCAGCACTTTAGCTTTCCTCCTGCTCTAGGACCCAGAATGCCAGACACAGCTCACTGGCAGATTTAGAAGAAGCCAATAACTGAAGTTGGGGTCATGAGGGAAGGGGCAAGAGATGGTAGTGTCACACTGTAAGTGGACAGATACAGGCCTGACTACAAGAGACCGTGAGGTGGGAGCCAGTGTGGCAAGTTTCACACTCAGTGCCTGAGACTTGACAGGCCCATTTCTAAGTGATTTGCAGTGGTTGCGGGCAGTAATGAGAGAGAGAGAGAGAGAGAGAGGAAGAAGGAAAAGGCCAAAGAGGCCCCAAGGAGGAGGAGAGGCAGTTACTCAGTGCTGGGCTTGACGAGGTACCCGTTGAAGGTGATGTACACATCAACATCGTCACTGTAAATGGCATTCTCCCGTTCCCGCTTGTAAAGCCTCACCCAGATCTCATCATTTTCCTGAAGCTCTAGCATGAGGCTCTGGCTCTGCATGATGCTGCGGTCGCTGGGTTGGGCATACAAGATGACTGCCTCTTCTTCATTGTGCATGATGTGCATGTAGGTCTCCTTGAAGTTCCAGGTGTGGACGTTGAGGCTGAAATAGTAAAGTCCACCTACATAGCAGTAGAATTTGCCATTGAACATGTCAAAGTGGCTGTAGAGGTTGACGAAGACAGTGTCGAAGATCAAGACCTGGTAGCCTTCACTGCTGTGCAGTGCTTTCTTGCGACCGACGGAGAATGCAGCATACTGATGCTTGCAGGGGTCTCCTGCTATGCCCATCTGTCCTTTACTGCCTTTCTGTCCCTGGGCTCCCCTCTCACCTCGTGGTCCTTCTTTGCCCCATTTCCCTGGCATCCCAGGCTCTCCCCGATCTCCTTTTTGTCCTGCAAGAGAAAGCAGAGGACACAACTCCTGTGTGATACCAGAGGGAGATGCGGAAGTGGTGGCAAGAAAGCCTAATGAGGAGACAGAGGATTGCTCCGTAATGGGTCAATACCAGAAAAAGGAACACTCATGAGGGTCATGATATCATTGTGCTTCATGGGAAAGGAGCTAACAGAGATCTGGGTGCAAATGGAGTCTCTTCTTTTATGAACCCCCTGCTCACCACATGGTATGGCCTTGCTGGAGACAGGAGAACCCATTCTTAAGAGACCTCAGCCTGAGAAGGAGCCCAGCAGTACGAAGTACTACTGTGGCTTTTGATCTCTTCTTTGTCCTCCACACTCCTTTATCTGCAGGAGGATGCTGCAATAGCATACAGGAGGCAGGGACAGACTCTGCCCTGCTACACACCTCCCTTATGGCCCCATTACCCATGTAGTGTGCACATTGTTGTTGCTGTAGGCTGGAGAAGGGGAAGAAGTGCTAAAGCCTGTGGGAGAATATGACTCAAGAGGAACAATGAGGTGGGTCAGAGGAAAAAGATGCAAGCTGGACTTGGTGATTGTGCAGTGCAAATTAGAGGGGTGGTACTTTGACAATACCAGCATCCTTTGGGTATCCTGTATAATTAATACTGCAGTTCTATCCTGGGATTCGGACAGGCATCAATACAGAGAGAAAGCAGCACCAGAATGTACTTTGTGTATAGAGAGAAGATATGGGAGTCAAAGAGAAGCCTCCAGCACAAGTGACAGCATCTCAGATTTGTGTCTTGTTCTTTTCCTCCTCTCCATTCCCTGCATGGTAATGCAGGTCGCCCTGCAACACCCTGCTCTGGCCCATGCTTCTAACTGCCCCAGTTGTGAGCCTTGATGGATTGCAGCTATTTCTAGGCTGGGCAGGGAAAGGGGAGCATCTGCCCAGCTAGCCCAGAGGAACTACAGAGCAACAATGACTGAGTGCAGCAGCATCCAGCTGGGAACAAGCTTTTGCCCACAGCAAAGGCTAAAAGGGGAGCCCTGAAGGGAGGAGCTGATCTAAAATAGGGAGCCTTTTCCCGTTAGCCAAGCTATCCAAAGCAGGGTGGAATGAGCTGGGGGTTGCTGCCAGTTAGCCTGGAGGTGCTTACGAATAGCTGCTCCCTCCCTTTGCCCTCATGCTCCAAAATCCATGCGATCCATGGAGCTGGAGAAGGTTTTCCCACAGCCTTCCCAGATGCCAATGCTTACCCTCCGAACATGCTTATTTTGCAGCTGGATAGAGACTTCTCTTTACCTTAGGCACTATGGGACTCTGGAAGTCTGAAACAAGGAAGGTGTCCTCCCATCTTGGCAAGTGACTGCCACTGCCACTCCTGTGCTAGGAGGGAGGAAGAGCCAGTAGCAGGCAGCATCCTGAGACACAGAGGTCACAGCATGGATGCACTGATTTCCCTTTGCTCAGGCTACTCTGGGTCACAGCACAGAACATCCCAGGGCCAAGATGGACACTTACCCTTCAGTATGGTGATGTTGATATAGGGACGGACCTCCGGCATTGGGTAAGGCAAGTGATGGTGGCTAGGGGGGAGCCGTGGGGCATCTGTGGAAGAGTCCAGTGGGTCACAACAGCGCTTGCAAGCACCAGAGGCTGGTTCTGTGAGATTGGGTTCATCAGTGGGTGCCCCAAGCACAAGAGGGAGAAGTAGGAGGGCCAGGGGTGTGCGCAGGTAAATTGTGTCCATGGTGACCTGGGAAGATATGAGAAAGTGCCAGAGATGTAAGAAGGGGAGGACACGGGCAATGGAGCAGAAATCACCACAAAACATCTTTCTGTGGCTGAAAATGGCATGGTCCTGTGGAGGGAGTTCACATGCTTGAAGTCCCTGAAGGCTCAAGGATGCAATGTGAGCGATAACCGTATGGCCCAAGAGGATGCACTTCTGCCTAGACCAATGGAGACTAGGTGCCCTTGCAGAAGGCTTTGCCCTCACTAGCCAAACCACAGGAGCCTAGAAGGTTCAGTCTCCACGCTGAGATACAGGAAGACAACATGGCAAACCACACCCTCCCTTTTGCAAAAGCATGCTCTGGTAGGCTGCTAAATGTATGAGGAGGGCTATAAAAATCTTCTCCAGTCCTCCAGTCACTAGGTATCAACTCTTCACGGGAGTCCAACCCAACAACCCCCCTGTCCCAGCTGGAGTCTGACCCATCTCTCTCTTCAGAGTGGCCCCTTTCCATTCCCCACACCAAATCCCATCCCTCCCGACCCCCGTGCTCAGCTGGGCTCTCAGCCAAACCCCAGCACCTTTCCAAGAGGATGACAGCTCCTCCAGGAGCAGCGAGCAGTGCTGGGTTTTTGCGGATGGACCCGAGGGGAGCTGCTCCTCTGCAGAGGGTAGGGAAGCAAAGCGCAGAGCAGGCAGCCTGCAGAGAAATATGCTTACGAAAGACAGACACGCAAACAAGCCGAGCAAGCCCCTCTCGCAGCCTCTGCCCCCCTTCCCTCTGCCTGCGCCCCACTGCAGCGTGGCAGCTCACCCAGGAGGCTGAGGGCTCCCCTCGGTGCTTCCCAGCCCCTGATCCAGGGCTCCCCTCTGCCTGCAGGGCCGGCCCCCCAGCCCATGGCTTTAAGAAAGCTGGCTCTTGGCACAGGCACTGCTGAGCGCTGGCTTGGACCTGCTCCCTCCCCTCTTCTCTCCCTCCCTTTCCCTCCTTGGCTTTGGGCGCCCTCCATTGCAAACCGGCTTGGGTTTCGGTGCCTTTTAACTCTTTCCTAGATAGTGCCTTGTCTTTATATATTGTGGTTTGCTCTTTTTTCTCTGCCTTCTCGTTTCCAACAGCCTGCCTCTGGTCAACCAAACTAGGGCAGCACAGACTGTGGCTCCCTGTGCAAGGGGTGGGCAGGCAGCAGGGCAGTGTCCCACCCTGAGCATCTCAGGATGGGCAAGGGGAGGTGCATCAGTGCCTTCCTTCAGGTGGGATGGTGCAGGACTCTGCTCTCCTTTGTATTAGTCTGTTATCCCATGGGCTATGGGTCCCAGCCCTTCATTTGCCTGGCCACACTCCCTCCCCAGCTGTGCTTGTCCCACTCGGTCTCCACACTCCATCTTTCATTCTCTCCTGCATTGTTTCTTCTGCACGTCACTGTGGCCTCTCGCCCCACGCATGATGTTTCTAGCAGGTTTATCTGCCAACTGGGAGAGGCATCAGTCCTTTCCCTCTCCGGTCATCCCCTCTCCCTGGGCAGAGCCCCAAGACTTGCACTCTGGCGTGTGTCATGCCCCGGTCACGTTCCCTGGTTAGATCCCAGCTGCCTGCCAGCAAAGCTGAGAATCTGAAGCAAACCCTGGCCATGATCTTTGCCCCCAGCCTGGCGCCAAGTTGACGTGCTTATGCTGTTGGGATAAGCACTATGCGGATGCACCAGTACCTTGGAATGAAGGGCATGTTGCAGAGAGGGATGGACAGGATGGCTTTCCTTACACTGCAGAATCTGTTGGAAGAGGATTTTGGGCATTCTACCCAGCAGCAAAACTGGATTTGGAAGCTTATACCCTAGGGAGCATGCACATATTTATCTCTGGGAGGCAGAAGGAAGCTCTCTCCTGCGGGGCCCAGAAGTGCCAAGTCAGCACTGTGCCTCCAGCAGTTTCCAAGAGAAGCTGTTGAAGGCTCCAAGGTTTCTGAGGGGGAAGGATTTCTGTGCGTGTCTACGTGTGCTTGGACTTCTCTTTGCTGTTTTCCCTCTCCCACTTGTTTGGTTTGGGAATGGGAGGCCCCCTTCCCAGAGAGTGGCTGGCGTTTGGCAGGACCCCAGCACCACTGGAGGAGCAAGCGGAAAACTCTGGGAAAATATGTGCCGCGAGCTGGGGGGGGAAGGGTGGAACGGGGGCTGGGAAGCCTGGAGATATTCTCAGGCTGCTTGTCAGCCTGGAGCTCAATGAACGCGGGCTGAATGTGCCTCCCAGCCGGGACGGGAAGAGGACCAAGGAATCCTCTGCTGTGCTCGTGAGCTCTTAGCTGGGCTCCAGCACTGACATTCAGTGAGCCCCACTGCAAGTCTCACACGTCTGCCTGTGCCTCAATCTCCCCTTGTGGAAAATGAGAGGGGGAAAGGCCAGGGCAATATCTCTTGCTAATGGAGCCTTGCCAGCTGACAGAAGCTGAGTTTTGTGATCCATTGTGTTGTCTGCTCCTGCCTGCTGCTGGTGGGGATTTTGGCAGCTGACAGTACTATTGAAAGCCAATAAATTTTCTAGGGTGCGTGAGAGCTCAGACATTGACACTGAAGGCAAAGTTCCTCTCTGTCCCATCAAAGCTACCGCAGTACCTCGCTCCCTTGGGTGTTCCTGCCTGGCTTATTTCCAATCATTATATTATCCCCTTTTGCAGCCCTTGACCTTATGTCTGCCCTCCTCTGCTTTTCCAAAGGGGAACAGGTAGCAGGGAGGCCACTGTCCTCATTTCCATCCCACATTTCCATCTGCACTCCTGACCTGCTTACAACCAAGCAAATGTTCTCTGTGGAGGACCTCATCAGCTGGGGCCTTCGCCTTTGTCTCATCTGACTGCAAGAACAGCTCACAGTGGGCAGCGAGAAGGACTTTGTAGTTAATGTCTTGTCTAAGCTGAATAGCGACCCACAGGGAGCCAGCAAACAAAGACTTGCCCCAGTGGCATTGCCCAGCTGGGCAGCAGTTATGCCACTAAAGACACTTTTTGCCAGGGTAATATCACCCTGCCCCCTGAAAGGAACTGTCTGTACCAGCAACGTTTTGCCAGGGCAGCCCTATTTGCAGGAGGTCTTGGCTTGTACGGCCGAGTGCTCAAAGATACGAGTTTTGATAATGCTGTCCAACTGCTCTCTGCCAGCCATGCTTTTAAGTGCAAACCAAGCCTGAAGGCACCTTGTGTGCTCAACAATCTTCCCTCTTCCTCATCACACACTTGGCCTTGGAGGCAGCCCAGGGAAGCTCTGGCCAGATTGGATTGCAATAATCCCTGCTCAGAAACAGCTGCTTCCTCCTCCTCCTGCATTTCCTCCCTTATCTGCACACCCCCAACACAGGCTAAATAGGGGGATACAGCCTGGCTCTCCCCAGTGACTGCCTCCATCCCATCAATCCTCTCTACCTCAGGTACAGAAGGAAGGAAATGACTTTGATGTTTCCTTCCCTGTCCAGCCCCTGTGTACAGCTCAGCTTCCCTGCTGCACACGTGGATCCCCTGCTCTGCTATACATACACACGTACTTGCATCCACCCGCTAACATACACACACTCACACTTCACTGCTTCTCCCTCCCCAAAACCTCCGGAGCAGAGATACCAACCGCACCAAGAGGCAGAGAAACGTCCCCTTCTCTTCCCCTTCCTGGATGCTTCTCCCCTCCAGCTGCTTTCCCTTTCCCCTCTTCCCCACCCCTTCGTCCCTGCTCTCCCAGAGCATCGCAAGCCGGGAGGGGAAGCGGAGGAGCTCTTACCTCCGGTCCCCTCCAGAGGGGTCCCGCGCTGGGTTATCTGTATCCTCAGCTGCTCCTGGCTAGCAGCGCGGGGAGGGAGGGCTGCCGGGGCCCAGCTGACTCCACACAGATGCTTGCCAAGTGCTCTTATGTAATTACTGTCTTCCCCATCCTGCCTCAGCGGCCTTTGTGAGTGCCTCCCCTCCTGCTCTGGCCCGTGTCAGGCTTGGCTCTCCTTCCTTCCCTCCCTTCCTTTCACCCACCCCACACAGCATCACACGATTTGCCCAGCTCAACAGCTGATTCCTTCTGGAAGCAAAATTCAGGCTTTTGGCTACTGCCGTTGCTACCCTTGGAAAGAGAGCTCACGTGTTGCAAGAGCTGGGAAGAGATGCTCTGCGCTCACCTCCTGTCCATTCACTGCCCAACCGCTGCCAGGTACCTTTGCCTTGCCCTTCTTTAGTGCAAAGGGAGCACCTGAGACATGGAAATGTGGCAGTGTGGTTTGATGTTCAGTAGTTTGGGGTGCCCTGTAGCAGCAGCTGGCCCTCTGCCATATCGGCATCACTGATCACGTCTGGCCAGGCTGTGGGGGGAGCTGGGAAGACTAGATGACCTTTAAAGGTCACCCTTCCAACACAAACCATTCTGTAATTCTATGACAAGATGAATCTTTTCCAGCCTGTGGACTGCATGGCTGTGCACAAGGCTTGTGTAACAGCCAGCCCTTGTTACCCAGGAGCACCAACACGGTAAGAAGTTATTGGCTTAGGATGTTTTATACGTCGCTGAGGATGAGCAGGCCTGCTGGATATCAGCTGCGTGGATACATTTCCTTTTTAACTTCTGCCCATGCAGGGCTTGGACCAACCGGGAATGACACGTTCCCTGGCTGCCAAGTTCAAGGATGCCTGTGCCAGCAGGAATTGCTGTTGTGTGCTGCTCGGCAGCCTGGATTGTCTCACACAGAGATCAAGGGCTGGCGAAGCCACTGCATTTTCTTGCTGTGTGTTGCTGAAATGCCACGTTGCTGAGGAGCATCTGGAGGAGCCCTACACCTGTACAATTGCTGCAGCAAAGCTGTTGCTAGACTTGGCAGTCTCCAGCGCTGAGCATGAAAGCAGGAGCTTGTCTCCCACTTCCTGCTGCCCCCACAGCTCGTCCGAGACACCGCATGTTTGCCGGATGCTGCAGAGCAGGGTATCAGAGACTGGCTGCAAGCTGTGTCAGTTGGATGTGCCTTTCAGCTAAGGGAGCATTGCGCAGGCTGCCACTTCCCCCACAGGTAGCTTGTCCAGCTCTGGTGTCCCACCTCTTACCACTGAGGCAAGAAACGCTGCTGGTATCCACCCCAAAGGCCAGCATGTGATTACAAGCACTAAGCCTACTGCAACCAGCGAGCCTTGTGAGCATCGAGGCCCAGCAGCTTGGTGACGTTGCAGCCTGGTTGAGGCAGTTCTTAACCAATAACCTCAGCCAAGCCTGCTACATTCTGCCTTTCTGGATCTAAATGCCTCCTCCCATCCACTCCTATGTAGACCCAGGAGCTTTGACCTCTGTGCTGTCCTCACACACTTCTAGCACTGCTCTGAGCAGTTACTAACAGGAGATCACTTCTGTGGGCATCCCAACTCACACAAGGAGTGCTAAGGAAGGGCAACAGTGGTTAGGGCAAGAAATACCTTTTTCAGAGGTACCCATGAGCTTTCTCACCAAAGAAACAAGCACTTTGATGTGAGAGGGGGAAAGATGGCATTTAGGAGTTCACAGAAACTCTTGGATCTGTGACAGGTTCTTCCCACTAAGAGAACCACCCTGACACTGAGGGAGCTGAAACAGAGTGGTTTCCCCCTTTGCTTGATAGCACTATCCTGATGGGCAGGGCCTGTTGCAATAGGGTAAGTGATGGTTTTAAACAAGAGAGATTCAGGCTGGATGTGAGGAAGAATTTTGTTACACTGAGGGTGGTAAAACACTGGCACAGGGTGCCCAGAGAGGTGGTGGATGCTCCAGCCCTGGAGACATTCAAGGCCAGGCTGGATGTGGCTCTGGGCAACCTGGTCTAGTTGAAGATGTCCCTGCTCAGTGCAGGGGTGTTGGACTAGAATGAGCTTTGAAGGCCCCTTCCAACCCAAACTATTCTATGATTCTATGGTCCTAGAACCAGTCAACAGCGTAAGAGTCCTCCCGTGTTCTCTGGCCATTTGATCCAGCTCGATCATGTTCATTACTCCATCTTCAAGACAGCAGGCCATGTGCACATTTTCTACCCATGCAGAAAAGCTCGATGCATTTCATAGCAACATACCTCTGCTGCAACCATATGATGACTTCCAGTAGCTACAACGCCTCTGAGAGCTTGACAAAGGGTTCTGCATGGATCTCCAGGCGAATACGTGGGAACTCCAAGAAGACAGTGCTGTGGCAGCGGGGTCCCAACGAAAGCCCCCACAACACCCCATGCTCCCTCCGCCAGCACACCGCAGGGTGTGCAGGGCTGTTGAGACATCCCCGCCTGGCACAGCCCTGCCTCAAACCCGAGTTAAACAGGGAGAAGGGCAGGGGTGTGAGGAGCAGGCAGGCTGCACCTCCCGGCTCCTCGTCCCCCGCCCGCCCAGATTCCAGCTCCCTATCCCTGCTCCCGGCCCTCCGGCGGCTGCCGACTGCCCCCTGCCGGCCGCGCTGCGCTCTGCGCCTCCTCCTGGCTCCCACGCGGCGCTGCCCCCGTGCCCGCTGCTTGTGATGCCCACGGGTGGCACCGGTGGCTCAGGCTCCTTCCTCCTCTCTGCAGCCTCCCGCCCAGTACTGCCCCCGTCAAAGCCCACCGAAGGAACAGAGTGATCCGTGTGCACCCAGTTCGTGAGTCAAGGCGTTCCTACCCCCTTCCCACCCGGCCCTGTTTGTCATGGATAGGACATGCTGCAGCCCAGGCACGCGTCTTTAGTTGGCTGCAGTTGATGTGCTGGGGATGTGTGTGTGTGTTTGTGCATGACGTGGTGTGAGATCTGAGCAAGCTGGCTGCCTTGTGCATGGCGTTTGCATATTTTATGCTTGGGAAGGCAAAGAACACCAAGTTTTCATGAGCAAATATTTGCATATTTTCCACTCGTTCAAGCAGATAAAGCATTTCCATTCTCCGTTGAATCCTCAGGAGAGACAGGAACAGCTTCTGTTCGAGGGTGTTTCCTTTCCTTGTACCGTTCTGCCTCTCATCTACTGGCTACTCTATTCCACAACTGGTTAACTGCTTCCTGCCCACTCCCCACACCCGCCTAGCCCATGGTCCTATAGAATAGTTGAAGCAGAACATGGCCTGGACAGGTTTGCTGTTGCCTGAGCTGAGCTGCTGTGTTTCCCTGCTGATGACAAATACAGCAGCTCCCTAACAACAGCTTCAAATGGCATTAAGTGTGGGCTGTGTTACTAACAGCCTGGAAAATGCAGCCTCACCTCTCCACACTGGAACCCCTCTCCAATCACCATTCTTTGCCCTTCCAGTGTCTCTCCTGAAGCTCCACTGCAGAGCAAAAGGGTCACACTGAGTGGGTCTGAAGCTGCTCCCGGCCATTCTTGAGCTGGCAGCAATGTGCTTGGGTGCCCACATATGGTGGGTTCGTCTATGTAGAGGGGTGATTTGCAAGGTCCAGTTGCCAGCTCCCAGTTGCAGCCCATGTCTGGACTGTGCATATGAAGGAGTATATTCGTGCTTAGGCCAAGATACATGCATGCAATCACATAAACACTCATTTGTATGCATGTATGCACATCACATACATATGCCTCTCTGTATCTGCTCTTGTTCATCCTGGCACATGCATATTAAACTCTATGAGCAGCTGGCAGAATGGGCTCTCCATGTTCCTAACACCCCATCTATGATCAAGCATTTGCTGGGAAGAGGCATTGCACAACACTGCCGAAATCACTGCAGCCCTTTCTAGTCTCGCAGCTCCAATCTCTACGTGATGAGAATGAAACCTTTTGTGCAGCACAGAGCTTGATGGAGCCCTTATCTCCATGCCTCTGCACCCAGAATAGAAAACTCCATTTCCATATCTGAGTGGAACAAATCCCCCTCAACACAGCCACAATTTCACTCAGTCCCTAAGCAGGGTCCCCATGGCCTCTGAGTTTTCTGAGTCAACTGCACCGTTAGAAGAGGGAGAGGGATGATGAGGGCAGTTGGTGCTATCACCACAGGAAAAGATGGGGATTCATGAGGAGAAAGGCAAAGCTGAAGAGAGAGGCAGGGGTCAGGAGGCAGCAAGGTACTGCCCACCATTCCAAACATCTGTTCCAACGAAAATCAACCTTTTAATCAATGGTAGCAGTTTACAAAATGTTATAGTGTTCATTTTCTCCTCGTGAATTTCAGACAAAAAATACCTTTTCTTTTCCCTCCTCCAGTCTTATTTTTGGTTCATCTCCTTTTTATTTTTTTCTCCCGATTTGTCACTGAAAAATAAGATGCGGCATAGGGAGGAGGAGGAAACACAAGACAGAAAAATATGATGCTTGTGACCCTTTCCTTTTAAACTCCTGTTTAAACTAAATACCCCTTATTTTTGCAGGTCTCCCTGGGATGCAATTGGTTTTCCTCAGCAGGCTCCCCTGCAGAGCTGCCTTGCTAGTGGGCTCAGACTCCATGTATCACAATGATGTCTCCTTGGCACACCGGCTTGGTGCTGACAACTCCGTGCTTGGGCTCTTCGGAGATGTAGGTATTTTAAGGAGCCAACCAGTTGGTGGAGTTTCTTGAGTGGTGACTTGCAGCAGATGGAGCTGCAAAGGCATGCGAAGTGAAGTCTCAGCTCAATTCAGTGGTGAAGGAGAGCAGCTCTGTTAAGCATGTTGGGAACTCCCCCACCTCCCCATGGCAGATGGGCAGCCCCTTGGTGGAGAAGGAAACCCTTCCTATATGTACCCCCCACCCATCTGAGATGCCTCCTGCTAGGTCTTCATTCACTGTCACATGCCTTCTTCAGTGCTTGGTCACCAACCACCAACAGAGCTCCATGCTCCCCAGCTACTACCATTTCTCCTCTATACTACACTGATGTCTGTGCCAATGGTGCCCAGTATTCACCTTACCCTGCTCCTCACGGCAAGAGGAGCAACACAGCACTCTGCTTAAAGTGCTGTGCTGTCTTGTCTATCCAACCCCTTGATAGCTAGTCCTTTTTATCTTCCTACTATTTGTTGCCCCATATATGGGCAGGATCTTTGGCAGTTCATCTTCATTCCACTAGAATTTGTTGTTTGTGATTCCTTCAGTGGATGCTATGGGAGCTCCCCAAAAAGAAGAGGCTTTTTTAGTCCAACAGACTGTGTATCCCTCACTCATGAATAGTTTGGCTGCTTTTTTCACTGGGGCCCAAAGTGTGGGCAGCTGATGCATGGATTGAAGGAGGAGGAGATGTGAAGAGGTAGAAGGGGATAGAAACTGAGAAGCAAGCACTTTCTTTTCCCCATGAGTTGAGCCTACCCTCTGGTGTGTCTGACTGTCCATGCTCAGGGGTACTTAGTAAGGCTAAGCCATACCCATGTGGGATCACTGGTAGGTCAGGTCCTGAGGCTGAGCCTACAGGCATGGACAGCTTGGCACTCACATCCCAGGACGGAGGACTCACAGGGACAATCTTTCTGTGTCAGGGAGGTGATGGCTGTACCAGTGGCTGAAAGCGTGGCTGAATGTCTTTTCTTGGTCATGTTTGGAGCCCCTTTCCACTCTTTCTCTGCTCTTTGGCTTGGCTAGGACGTCTCATCACCTGGTACCCTGTGATGGTCCTTTCCCAAACTTAGGTGCTCTGCACTGCAATTCCTCCGATGCCTTCCAGGCCTCCACTTCACACATCACCTTTGGGTGACATTGTCTTTTGCTTCTTCATAAAGTGGTTCTGTTCCCAACATCCTCAGCTGCTGCAGCAGCTTGTTCTGTTTCCTGGTCCAAGGCTTTTGTCTTCCGTCCCAGCACACTTGACACAAGCCATCCCTTCACATCTCATGGCTTTTCTCAAGTGACCTGTGAGACATCCTTCCATCAGCCAGCTCTTGTCACTGGCCCTCCACTGACTGCCTTCTTCAGCTTATCCTGACCTCAAGAAAGCATTTCTCCTCCTGGTAGGTCCCTGCTTCCCATTCTCAAATTATTTGTGGAGAAAAGTGCCCAGATATAATGAAGGGCTCTTCTCCTTCTTGGTGGCTGTAGCTTAGCAACAACACTCATGGGGAAGTTCAAGGTGTGGGGACAGACATTTAGCAGAGCCTGCAGGAATGATGCCAAAGTGGAGAGACAGACCTTCATCCCACCCACCCTTGTACATCACTGCTCCTCTAGCATGCACACTCAGACAGGCCCACCCACAACCTCCCACCAACAACTGATGCACAGAAGCAACAACTCATCCAATGCAGCACACATACTCTCACGCTCTTACACAAGCATTCACATGCGCATGTTTCCACATATGCTTACATGCCTACACACCTCTATCTACCCTTTAAACATCCCATAGTGCCATACACACACTTCCACATCTGTGTTTGTATACACTTACACACACGCACACCACCTTGTGCAGCTCTGTACACACTTATACATGCCCCACAGCCACACACTGATTAGCACTAGTGCCCAACCCGTTCTTACCTTCCACTAGCCCTGACTCCTTGATCTACAGTCCTCTTCAGCCATTCCAATACTCATACAATGTATACATACTTCTGCATACAGTCACCTTTGTACACATGCAGACACATCGTTTCTTATTCATTCTTAGCCATTCTACCTTTTCCCAAAGATGAATCCATCCCAAGTATTGCCCAGACTCCTGCAACCATAGATCTCACACAGCGAAGATTCCCCAACCTCCCTCTGCTCCCTGCCCCATCTTGTACTGATACATGCCTTGACCTCCTGTACCAGCCAAACATTACTCCATACAGAGATCAACTAATCTCAAAGACATTGTGTATTGTTAGGAAAGCCAAAGCCATATCTATAGCACCCCACTCCCCTAACCACACAGGGTAGTTCTGCCCAGTTGGCCTTTGAAGTCCAAAGGCTTTTTGTTTATTTACAATAAGGCTTAGGGAGAGACAAAGGGAAAGGGCATTTCAGCTTGTAGGAAACCCTGCCTCCAGCCCATGCTTCGTTGTCTTCTTTTCTACTTATATCTTCCACCAGGGTGCATAGGCACCAGGAAAGCACTGAAGAATGCAAGGTGCAGGGAAGAAGTGTCCCATCTGCTCTCTCAGGTAAGTCTCATCAGCCTGCCCAGAGTCCATGAGAGCCCTGGAAAGGAAGAAGAAGCTTTGAGTGGTCTCCAGCCACGACCAGCATGAGTAGGAGGAATGTTATCCTCAAGACTTACTGGAGAGCTAAAAAGGGATCAGCCATACATGCGACTGGCTGTTATGTCTTTGCTGCAGACATTTTTCCTCCCTGTTTTTCTTTTAGGGTAAACCACTTCTAATGTTTATAAGGAAGATAATCAAGGTCCTAGGATGCCTATTCATTCTATATGCCATTTGAGGACTTCCTTGAGGTGCCAGAGTCAGATGGCAGCTGATGCCCTTTGCCACTGGGTCATCTAAGGAAGGATCATGCAATCTAGGGCTGACCTTGCTTTCTCCATACTGTGAGTGCCCATCACCTCTTCACCTCTCCGTGGATTCAATCCTTCCTTTACCCAGTACCACAAAAACCTCAGGTGTCTCTTCCAAAGCCAAGAATAACGCCTTGTTTTTTCCAGAAGTTCATGGAACCTTCTTCTTCTTTGAATGGAGTCTTGGACTTCAATATTCCTTTGTATGAATGTCTCTCATTGCCTTTGAGGTGGAAAAGCACAAGAGGGTGAAGGGGATCCCAGGTCCCAGTGTCCCTTTCCCCTGCACCATCCCTTTCATCATAAATAACTGACATGCAACTTGTTGCTCTTTTCACATCCCCCAGGCTCCTCAGGGAGTGGTTTTTGCTGGTTGCTTTCTCCTTCCCCACTGCTTAGAGGGTGCTCCTGCCTGTCATTACCATTCTGCGTGATCTTGCTGATCTCGCCCTCCTCCCCTTCATCGTCAGTCTTCTCGGGGGGGCACTCTGGCACCTCCTGGCTCTGGACTCGGCGGGATGGCCGGAAGATGGCCCTTCGGAAGCCCTGCTTGAAGCGGTAGGAGAGGAAGCCATAGATGATAGGATTGGCACAGCTGTTGGCATACGGCAGCACCACCACGAGGAAGTAGACACCAAAGAGGGATGGCTCCTCTGGCAGTGGGCAGACAACATTGATTATGTTGAGGACATAGAAGGGGAGCCAGCAAAGGATGAAGACAGCCACAACAGCCACCACCATGCGGGTCACTCTGCGCTCTGAAAGCTTGTGCTTGGAGGACAGAGCTCTCACCCGCCTGCCCGATGAACGAACCTTCACTACGATAAGAAGATAGCAGAGACAAATCACCAGCAGTGGCCCAAAGAAGCCCAGCGTGGCAGTGTAGACGATGAAGCCAGCTCTCCACACCGAAGCGGGCTCTGGCCACTGGATGTGGCAAGTGTTCATCCCTAAAGGAACGTCTGAGAAGACGACCACGGGCAGCACCACTACAGAAGACAGGACCCACACAGTTGCACTCACAGCCTTGGCCACCCGTGCTGTTCTCCATTTGGAGGACTTCCCTGGGTGGACCACGGCCAGGTAGCGATCGACACTCATCACCGTCAGGCAGAAGATGCTGGTGAACTGGTTGATGGCATCCACAGCCATCACCAGGCGGCACATGAAAGACCCAAATGGCCAGTAGGACAAGGCATTTTGTGCAGCCAGGAAGGGCAGACCCAGCATGAAGAGTTCATCAGCTAGGGCCAGGTTCAAGATATAGACATTGGTCACTGACTCGCTCACAGAGTGCCGCAGGACCACATAAATGACCAGAGAATTCCCAACCAGCCCCACCACACAGACAATGAGATAGACCACGGGGATGAGGACACCACTGAAAATCACACCAGGGCTGGTGATGGTGGAGCTGTTGGGGGTAGTGAAGCCTGCCCAGCTGCCAGAGGCATTCCCCTCCTCGGACACCACTGGCGTGGGGAGGCTGAAAGCAGAAGTGTCCATAGCAGAGGCAGGGAATAGGTGGAGGGCAGCGTCCTTGCAGGATCAGTTACCAATCTGGAAGTGAAAAGAGGAGAAAAGAGCCATTGATAGTGAGGACATGACAGCTGAACAGATAAAGCCACAGATAAAAACACCACATTAACTGAGTGTAGGTGTGGATAGGCATGGGAAGTTGAGGTGAGTCTTTGGATGCTGGGAGCTGGAAGATGTAGAACAGTATCAACCCCATCTAATCCTGGGAGACACACGAGTGGGCATGGAGTGACAAACAGGAACATGGCTCAATGTAGATCAATGGATCCTCTCCCCTAGGGGAAGATCCTCTGGGAAAAGAACCACATGCTAGTCTAGGGACAGGGAAATTTCTCTTTTTGCTAATGTCTTGAATACTGGGTCACCAGCAGCCTGACTCTCGTTTATGAGTGGCAGGTGCCTTAGGAAAAAACAAGGGAAGAGCATCCAGTGACAAAGTGCAATTCCAGCTCTGGTTCACTCATTCACCGAGTACCCTCCTGCTTGCTGCAGCTCTTTTTGGGCTGGCCAGGTTACCATGGGGTTGTTAGTCCCACCAGGAGAAATGAAAGCATCTCTACTCTCAGTCCAAGACAAGAGGCTGAGCTCAGCACCTGAGCTGGAAGCTAGCTGGTTTCTGTTAAACCAGTTTAGGAGTAAAGGAAGAGATGGATTATGTGGGGTACACCAAGAAGGATCACCCCAGATCTCTCTTGTCTCTTTCTCTCGTTTTCTTTCACCCTGTAACACACTGCTAATGGAAGAGGCTCTGCCTACCCCAGCTGTTTGCAACACCAAAGCAGTATCCCAGCCTTTCTAACCTGAGGTGCCCAACTGCCTGTCACATCAGGGTTTGGCATGGAAACAGCACTCAGCTCATTCAGGGACAGCCCTGAACAAACAAGCTCTCCATTCACCACCAGCTCTCTGCTGACACTGGGTGAGAAGCTGCAGGCAGAGAAGAGACAGATAAGGGAAGAACGTGCCTTTTGTCAAGGCTCCGGATTTGTGAGATAGACAGTCCAGCACATACTCCAGGTCAGAGACACCCTGGGAAACCTTATGCATCATCTTCTTGATGAACTAGCTCCTTGGAAGGGAGGATGACTTGGTGGAAGAGAACAGAGACCCTGAAGCTCACCTTTACCCATCCCAACAAAAAGGGCTCTGAAGCTCTTTTGTTATGTAAATGAAAACGGAAATCTCAAAGGATTCCCAATATTAACTACTTTCAGGAGGCCAGAAACACTCCAGAGACTTTTCTCCCAGATAAGATTCTCTGTATCACCACATCTTTCTTCAGAAATGTCCTAATATTACAGGTTTAATTCTTTTTTGTAAGCGGCCTTCCAACTTCTGTATACCTCAGGGGAGACCTGAACTTCAGATGGATACCAGATAGGTAAACCCAACAGACTCCACAGGTGTATCAGATCTTGTGTTGAAAGAACATCCTCTGATAGGCCCCTTAAATCCACAGATGGGCAAATATGTCTTAAGGCTATATGCTCTACAGGCTATTGCATAAATGTTCCCTGTTATACTTAAATAAGCTTTAAAGAACTGGAATTGTTTAGACTTTTCTTCATTTGCAGGTGCCGTGGGCTGTGACACACTGTCCTGATAGAAGCCTATCTCTTGGGGTCCTGCAGTACAACACATCATGAGTGACTGCAATGAATGGGCAAAGGGATTTGAAACTATTTCTAAGCTCAAGGATCTTTCTTCTGATTTTTTGGGGATCTTTTTTTTTTTCCCAGTGCTGTTCTAGTGATGCAAATCACTTGTTGGAGGAAACAGGAGGGCAGAGGCTTTTCTGGAGGCAAAGACCCCTGCAAAGGGTGGCAGAGACCAGAATGGTATGTTCATAAGATGCTCCTCTAGAAGTAGGGGACACAGTTAGGAACCCCTTTGGATGTTCCTCCAGAATGCAGAAGAACTTAAAAAAAGCATTTGGAGACAAAGCCCTACAAATATCAAATACAGATGAGGACACTCATGCTGGGGCTGAAGAGCACATGGAGAAGTGTCTGGGGTCCAGACCTCAAAGCTGGTTGCTCAGGCTGTGGTTTAGCAACCCAGTAACGATTGAGTTTGGAACTTCAGGGCTCAAAAGCCCTGTTAGAAATGCTAAGGCATGCAACGCAAAGCACTGATTCACTAGAAACTTGTTCTCCTGCTCAGACAGCTGCAGTGGTGAAACCTCATCTTTAAGCAAAAGTGGTCTGCCTGTGCCATTCTAACTTTGGCAAGTACCATCTCCCATCTCAGATGCTGTGTCACACACCCTTTCTGGCTAGTTTGATATCCCATTGGACACCAGTGCCTCATCTGGGTTGGATCCGCTCTACTGACTGCTTTGACAGCACCCACATAGGTAGGCATTGATGAGGAACCTTGTCCTCAGGCTGATTGATATGATTGATAGTGTATAGGCATCTGCCTGGGGCTTTCCCTCATGTGGAAAGTACCTGTTGCAAGTGACTTGGGATCCCATAACACGTGCTGCCAGAATATAGCTGGTGCATACATCTGCAGAGCAGGAGGAAGGCAGAGATGCAAATCAGTGCCACCACTTTCTGTAGGAAAAAAAAATAAAATTAATAAATGTCTGCACTGGAAGTGAGGAGGAGGTGGATGCTAAAAGCTGAGCCTGGACCTGGTTACAAAACAGGAACAGGAGCTGGGAGGGACCACAAAGGCCAATAACCTCCAGTCCCTCTTGCCCCCATCCCTGCCTGTCCCCCTTGTTTCCCACTGCCCTGCTGCAGCTCAGGACTCCCCCTGCCTCACCTCGGGGCTGAGCTCTCTGTTGGGGACCAGGCGGGGCTGGGGGGGTCGGAGGGGTTGGATGGGCATGTTTCCTCCTCTGGGACTGCAGAGTTAACTTCTGCATGGACTCACACCCGCGGGAGACATCTGGAAAGAGCCGCCTGGTACTTACGTGTCGCTGGGATGCACATTTTCCTCTGCTTCCCCGACAGAATCCGTGTCATGTTTTTCCCCCTTCCCTTTTCTTGAAGGCAATTGACGAAAGCGGTCCCGGGAACGAAGAGGGTCCCACCGTGCGCTACCGGAGGCTCAAGTCCTGCCTCCCGGACCTGCCCATCGCCCCCTCCGTGGCCGGTGCTGGGCCGGGACCAGCTCCCATGCCCGCTGGTGTCCAGCCGGCAGCGCTGCCCTCCGGACGGGGGTGCGGGCCCCTCAGCCTCACGGCGGCGAGGCTCTGCCCGCCGCTCCCGCCGCCATCCGCGGGAGACGGGGCTCGTCCGCCGGGCGAGACGGAGAGGAGAGGAGCGGAGCGGAGCGGAGCGGCGGCTGCCGGGGGGGTCGGCTGGTGGCAGCCAATGGGCGCCACGCACGGGAGCAGCGGGAGAGAAAGGGAAGGACGGGATGCGGGGGGAGAGAGCGAGGTGGGGAGTAAAAGGGAGAGAGGGAGATGCAGGAGAGGGGCAAGGGGCGAGGGGAAGTGCAAAGGATGAAGTGTGCGGTCAAAGAAGATGGGGGTAGTGCAGAGAGGGATGCAGACAGCAGTTGTGTGGTGGGAGAGTAGTGTGTCTGGGGGGAGCTCAGCTCGGCTCCCCTGGCAGTGCAAAGCGCCCTATGAATCCCGTGAATACCGAGGGAGAGGGGTTCCCTTTTCTGGGGATCTTGCAGGCAAGACCGGTGCTGCTCAAAGCCGCAGGGACACTGCAAAGCCTCCTGGCTGGGAACATGCTCAGAACCCAGCGTGGATGCTGAGCACACAAACCCTTCTCCCTCCTGTTCTGCCCTATGAGCACCTCCAGGTGGATGGAGTGGAGGGCAGATGGGCAAACAGGGGATGACTATCTCAACTCCTCCATCGCCTCCTCTGGCTCTATGCACAATCTCATGTCATTTGTACCTTCTTTGGAAAAAAGCTCCAGTTCCACAGCCCCGGACTCTCCTGCCAGATTTCATCTGAGGGCACCCAGAAGAAATGGGGCAGGGCAAAAAAATAAGCTCGTTTGTGTGAGCAGTTCTGCCAGGAAGTTTCCCATCCCATTCCTTGCACAAAGTGCTTCTCTGTAGTCCTCACACCATTCCCTGCCCTGCAGCCAGCATCAGTGACTCTTTGTGCTGTGCAGTCCCCCAGCTTTTGACATTTGGCACTGCTGTTATGAACATTTGAGCTCCTGAGGCCAATTCCAGCCTTACAAAAGGCAGGAAGTATCCCTGAGAGGAATATATCCAGGGTCTAAAACCTTTCTTACCAAACCTGCTTGTGCAATTTTATGTCCAGCCAGTGCCACTAAGGTAACCAGGTGAAGGCAGTGCAGGGCTTGGAAGCTGTCAGGATGCCTTAGCCTAGATCTTGGCCACAATGCTGTCTGGAGACACACAGAATGGCACAGGTAGCACCCAGTGGCTATCTCTGTCATGACAGGGCAGGTATCTGCAGCACCATGTAGGGAGCCCCTGAGCTCATGTCTTAGAATAGAGCTGTGCAACAGCAGAGCTCTTCTCAGGCCAGCTACAAGTTGCAGGACTTGTTAGCACAAGCAGAGTCACAGAACCACAGCTTCCAGGTCTCCAGCTCTATTCTCTGCCTCCGCTCTAACAGAGTTGTGTAAACTGCTTGAATTGTGTTGGAAGGAGAGCTCAGCCGGTACATCACCACTGGTGGGCAGATACATGAATGTTGTTTCATGCAGATGGTGAGCCTCTCCTCTCTGCATTGCTGTACATGACACAGGACAGACTGTGAAGGCAAAAGCCAAGGCTTGAAAACTGGAGAGGAAGTGATAACCCACTGTGAATGCATTGGTTTGAGTAATGTTTAGGAAGTTTAAGGGAGGATGGATCCCAGTCTCAAGGGCTTTGTGTCCCTTGCTCTTCCACAGGTGTGTGCCCACACAGGAAACTTAATTTCTGCCCTTCTGGCCTTACGTTGTCACAATTTACATTACCTTTGGATGAGGCTTGGGCAATTCATCCTGCAGTCCCAGTGCAATGCTGACATTTGTGGAACTCACTGCCACAGTATGTTCTCTCGGGTTGCTCTGGACATTACCAGTGAATAATGTGCCTCATCACCGAACTGACTGCCTTTGATCTGCCCAGGAATTCAATGTGCAGAAATCTGCCTGGCAGCAGGGTACCTCAGGGGTTTGCAGTGGGGGGCTGTTGCTGGCACTACCCATGCAGCTCCTCAGTGCAGAAAGCAGGTTTTGAAACCCAGAACTGGTGCTGCACTGGGGAGTGGTGAGCTGGATCCACAGCTGCTCTGTGCCCTCCTAGGACTGCAGGGTTTTGCAGTGCCAATCACTGCACCCTGAGCCCTCCTCCCTCTGGCAAGCAGTGGCAGTAGCAGCCACCCTGTGTAACACCACTTACTCTCAAGTCTGCAATGCATCAGGAAGGCAGGTGCTCACAGTTGCCAGATCCATGGTACCGCTGGGACTACTCTCTTCAGCTTCATTTTAGTGACTTGGAGGCAATTTGTCTGGACTGGTGACTCATTCCTGGCTCTTTTTATTCCCCCCCTGCCCTCCCCCTTCCTGTTCTCACTCTGCCTGAGCCTGGCAGCGGGAGTGAGCGCTGGTACCGGTATGACTGCCTGTGACGTGAGCTTAGGAGCGTTAATGCAGAAGTGTTTTGGTGAAGGGGTGTCCCCAGCAACCCACAGCCGCAGTCCCCACGGAGAGGAGCCTACTACCAGATGTGTCCTATCCCAGTGCCTGCATCTCATCCTGTGTGTGCGTCGGAGGGGAGACAACTTTTCTCTTGAGCACATGGAGGATGAGAAGGGGAAGGGCAGAAGCGGAGGTGCAATCACCTCGCTGGCTGATTACAGGTGGTTACAAAGGTGTAACCCCCTTTGGCTGGCACGTGACATCTGCACTTTACTGAGGAGTGCAGGGGGCTGAGCTGAGAACTTAGCAACTTGGTGCATGAGTCAGGCCTCCTTTCCTCATCTTATAGCAGATGGAGCTCCCCAGTACCAAGCTCAGCTTGGTGCTGCCTGGGTTGTCACAGCAAGCAGGTATCTCCACCCCAGCCATCCCATTGCTCACTGCGTCAGGGCCGTTATCCCCCTGAGGCACAACACATCACGACATAGCAAGAATGTACAGTCTGTTTATTGGGACTTACTCACTATGTTGTAAGCTCAAGGGGCTGGTGAGGAAGGGCTGAGTGTGGGGAAGTTGTGCAAATGGGCAAACCAGTGCTGCCGGACCCACAACAGTCTTTCAAGCCAGCAGAAATAAAAGCGCAGTGACCGCCACAAGGTACTGATGGTACTGGGATGCTGGAACCATTGCTTTGCTGTGTGCTGAGCAGAGGCTGGCATCAAGATGGGGATGGGATCTGTAGCCAAAAACATGACAGACCTTGCAACATCAGCTTGTCTATTTCCTCTTCTCCCTCCTTCTGCCACAGTGGTGGTAAAAGAATGAAAGGCAAGGTCCCAGCTAGAAAGATCTCACTCTTCCCTCAGGCTTTGGCCAGCTTTGCCTCTTGTCCTGAAGCTTCTGTCCTCCCTCTGCTGCCTTGAGTTGAAGGGGAAGGGCAGGTGGGAACAATATGAGGAGTATAGGAGTCCTGGGGGAAAAGCTGCTGCCTGCTGATGAACGGCAACATGAAAAACCTCTTGAGGTGAGCAGGACCTGCTAAGGGGAAGGGCCATTGGGTAACTGCCATGAATGAGAAACAGCAGAGTTTTTTGTTTTGTTTTGTTTTCCCTATAGGCAAAGCCTGCAGCTTCACACCTCTCACAGCAGGTCATCCCCAGGGTACCCTGGATATAGATCCCTTTGTGGCAGAGGAACACAGAGAGTTCTTCCCTGTGAGGGCAGAGGTGGAAAATCCTGGGCACCAGGAGATGGGGGGAAAACGTGCCCATGGGCAAGCAGGAAAGAGGAGGAAGTGGTTTAGGGATGTGTGTGCTCTGTCATGTCATGTCCTGTCCTTTCCCCAATCAGGACTTCTGTTTCCCTCTCTTTCTGTAAGGATGGCCCATCCCACCATGCACAGCAGGTCATAGGAACCCAGTGGCCCTGACCAGCCAGGTTTGGGAGCAGGAAAGTGCCACTGGTGTCATTCCAAAGGATCCCTTCCAGACTTACTCGTTCAGAGGAGGCTGCATGCATGTTTCTTTGTCCGGGTGGGCTGCGGGCAGAGGACTGCTCGGATGGCCTCATCAAACACTGTCTTGAGGCCACGCTGTGTCAAAGCTGAGCATTCAAGATATTTCACAGAGTCTGTTGGAAGGAAAGCAAGTGCTGTAATAGGGAGGAAGGAAACTGACATAGGCAGTGGGGGTACCCATGGGTCTGCTGCCAAGAGAAACATGCAGGAGGAATGCCACAGACCACGCCAAGCAGACAGAGATGCACGTGCGTCACCAACATGCTTCTGGCTCACATCAGTTCATAGCCACAACACCCTCCTCCTCTCAGTGCCCGTTGCACTGCGTCCTTAGGCACATGCCACCTGAACACCACCGAGCCTTATCTTGAGATGAGGTCTCAAGTCCCCTCAGACTTCAAGTGTAATTCAGACTGCCTGGCCTCGAGCACCTCTTGTGGCATCTCAGATCACATGGTACTTCCCTTTTTGGGACTCTACCTTCAAAATCTCCGACACCTCACGCTGGAAAGCAAAGCAAATTGAATGAACACAGCTCAGGCGATCAAAGCCATTAGGCATTGTCAGGACACACTTCTGTCACTCAGGCAGTTCACTTCAAGGGAAAGCTTGCCAGCCATACAAGACCAGGGTTTGTCTGTTGTCTACCCTCATAGCCAGGGCAGAGCCATCGTGTGAGGCTGGCTGTGCTATCCTGATCAAACATGCACACCTCAGTTGAAAACTCCCCCCTCAAGCTGTTTTCCACCTCTCTCCTACTTCTGTATGCTGTAGTTGAGAAGAGACGTTACCTGTAACAAACATTTGTGCATGTCCCCAAATACAAGCGGGATCTGATGCCCCTGAGATGAACAGTGGGGTGAGACACGCGTACCAGGGGCTGCACGTATGTGCCCTGGTAGTCATTCAGGGACAGGAAGCTGCAGTTGCAGCTCTTCCTGAGAGATGTTAGAAAACTCACTCTTCCACATCTTTCCGGATGTGGAGGAGAGGCCTCTGCCCACACAGCAGCTGCAGCTTTCACATAAAAATGTTGGCTGAGGTAGAAATAGCAGAGTAAAAGGGGAGGGGAATGTGCAAGCATGTATTTGTGTGTGTGTGTGTGTGTGTTTACGATAGTGGCAGGAGAGAGGCAGAAAACAGAGGGTTGAGGGATTGAGGCTTTCTCAAGAAGCAGA